AAAAGGGCTAAATAGTTAATTGTAGTAAAGGCAAAAAAAAAAAAAAAGGGCAAGGAATTCTTGGGAGGGAAGAAAGCATCCAGAGAGGATAGTGTCGATGCATCTGTTGTTTTTGCTTGACTTTCATTCATTTATCCTGGCAATAGTGCCTCAATATTCCTTTCAGGAATGGTTCTTTATCCTCTTCTAGTCCATATAGAGGGGCTCCATCACCCCTGGCTCCTGCAGTGTCTTATAATTCAGTCCATTCCAATGAGAGTTACGCATGCCTATAGCCATAGCTTCCAGACTGAGTCAGGAATTTTATTCCAACTAGTCTAATAAGCCTCAAATCTTTTTTTTGAAGCTTTGCTCTTATATTTTTAAAGATTTTTTTATTAACATGTATTATTTGTTTCAGGGGTACAGGTCTGTGGTTCATCAGTCTTACCAATTTCATAGTACTCACCATAGCACGTACCCTCCCCAGTGTCCATCCCCCAGCCATTACCCCCCCACCCCCTTCCCCTCCAGCAACCCTGTTTGTTTCCTGAGATTAAGAGTCTCTTACAGTTTGTTTCCCTCTCTGGTTTCATCTTTTTTTCATTATCCCCCTTCCCCAATAATCCTCTGTCTTATTTCTGAAATTCCTCATATCAGTGAGATCATATGATACTTGTATTTCTCTGATTGTCATATTTCACTTAGCATAATACCCTCTAGTTCTATCCATGTCCTTGCAAATGGCACAATTTTGGCTTTTTTTGATGGCTGCATAATATTCCTATGTGTGTGTGTGTGTGTATACACACACACACACACACACACACATACACATACCACATCTTCTTTATCCATTCATCTGTTGATGGACATCTAGGCTCTTTCCATAGTTTGGCTATTGTGGGTATTGCTGCTATAAACATTGGGGTGCACATTGCCCCTTCAGATCACTACATTTGTATCTTTAGAGTAAATACCCAGTAGTGCAGTTGCTGGGTTGTAAGGTAGCTCTGTTTTCAACTTTTTGAGGAACCTCCATACTGTTTTCCAGAATGGCTGCACCAGCTTGCGTTCCCACCAACAGTGCAAGAGGGTTCCCCTTTCTCTGTGTCCTTACCAACACCTGTCATTTTCTGACTGGTTAATTTTAGGCTTTCTGACTGGTGCAAGGTGGTATCTCATTGTGGTTTCGATTTCCCTGATGCCGAGTGATGTTGAACACTTTTTCATGTGTCTGTTATCCTTTTGGATGTTTTCTTTGGGTAAATGTCTGTTCATGTCTTCTGCCCATTTCTTGATTGGATTATTTGTTCTTTGGGTGTTGAGTTTGATAAGTTCTTTATAGATTTTGGATACTAGCCTTTTATCTAATAGGTCATTTCAAATATCTTCTCCCATTCCATTGGTTGTCTTTTGGTTTTGTTGACTGTTTCCTTTGCTTTTTTTTTTTTTTTTTTTTTTTTTTTTTTTTTTGGCAGACACGTCTTTCATTCGGGAAATACATCTTTCCTCCTGGTTCACACCCAGCAGATGGAGGAGTGCAGCTTCCTGCCTCCCTCAGAGCTTCCCCTGTGCACGGTCAACCCTGCAGGCTGGCACTTCCCCTCAGCGGGTCCTGGGGCCAACTTTCCGCAGCCAGGCAGCTCTACCTACTCGAATCCTGTTTTAGAAATCGGCTCTTCCGGGGCGCCTGGGTGGCTCAGTGGGTTAAAGCCTCTGCCTTCAGCTCAGGTCATGATCCCAGGGTCCTGGGATAGAGCCCTGCATTGGGCTCTCTGCTCAGTGGGGAGCCTGCTTCCCCCTCTCTCTCTGTCTGCCTCTCTGCCTACTTGTGATCTCTGTCAAATAAATAAATTTTAAAAAAAACGGCTCTTCCATGCTAAAATTTACAATAAAAATAAAATAATTTGCTCTGTAAACTATAGTAGAAAGTTTCAAGTGTCTTAAAAACGATCTTCTATACAACAGAAAAAGGCTTCTGTGTTTTTTATCTTGATGAAGTCCCAATAGTTCATTTTTGCCCTCGCTTCCCTTGCCTTTGGCAATGTTTCTAGGAAGAAGTTGTTGCAGCTGAAATCAAAGAGGTTGCTGCATGTATACTCCTCAAGGATTTTGATGGATTCCTGCCTTACCTTGAGGTCTTTCATCCATTTTGAGTCTATTTTTGTGTGTGGTATAAGGAAATGGTCCAGTTTCATTCTTCTACATGTGACTGTCCAATTTTCCCAACACCAGTTGTTGAAGAGACTGTCTTTTTTTCATTGGACATTCTTTCCTGCTTTGTCGAAGATTAGTAATTAACCATAGAGTTGAGGGTCCATTTCTGGGCTCTCTATTCTGTGTCTGTTTTTGTGCCAGTACCATACTGCCTTGATGATTATAACTTTGTAATAGAGCTTGAAGTATGGAAAGGCTCAAATTTTTTATTAGAAATTTCAGGAAAGGAAATCTGTCTTCTACTGAAGCTGTTAAGTCTAGAATCACCTAGATCTGCCACAATCTGCAGAACCACCTAGATCGGCCTAGATCTGGGGTGGGGTGGTTGATGTCTGTCTGAAAATGAAGACATCAAAGAAAGCATAGATAGATCCAAAAATGGAGAGAAAAATTTCTGGCAACTTTTTCTGAAACTCTCATCTAACCATGCCTGAGTCAGAGCTTCCTCTTGATTTTTCAGATGCACACACACACACACACACACAAACACACACAATTTTTTTTTTTCAATTTCAGTCACTTTGATTTGGATTTTCTTTTTGCTGTTACTCTGACAAAGTCGGTTATGTTACATGTGGTTTCCCCACTAGAGGGTGTAGCTCCCTCACTGTGCTAGGAGGAAGACTTTTTTTTTTTTTTTTTTCTTTTCTATTTTTTCTCCCCCAGAGAGGGAATACTAGCATGCTGGCATTTACTGTCAGAGACACTTGTTGGGAATGGTGCAGGGTCCCAGCCACAGACCTTACCTCCCTCATGGGGCCCTTGGCTTAGAAGGACTAGGAGAGCAGTCAGATAATCAGTCATGGCTACAGGCATAGGAAATGGGATAAGACTAAGGTACCAGATGAAGACTTCATCTCGAGAACCATGAAGCTTCCTTGGTCTTAAAAAGGAGACTGGTTTTTGTCTTCCATGGCAAATCTGATTGGCAAGGCATGCCTAGATTGTTATGTTGAGAAAGATTTTGAGGCCACACAGAGCTCAGTGGAGTGTACAATCATTGATTACTGATACCTGGTGTGGGCACAGGGAGAGGCAGGGTTGGAGATGATACTTTTCATCTGTGGGTGAGATGTTTCTCAATAGGAGTACTATTGGCATTTTGGAAGGGTTGTTTCTTCACAGTGTAGGACTCTTCATTATACTCTTCTAAGGCATTATAAAGCCTTAGTCCACAGAATGCCTGTAGTACCACTCCAGTCTTTGTGACAAGCAAAAGTCACAGACACATATTTTAATGGCTCTTATGAGAATAGTACTACTCAACATAAAGCTCATTAGGTTTGACCGAGAGTGGACAGACTTGGATTTACCTGAGAAATGAACTAGAGCTTCTTAAATTCTTTAAGGCAAAGGGGGAATAAATGAGTTCCTTTGTTTTGTTTTAGATCCTGAGATCAGACTGAGCTTGCCATCATTAGGGGATGGTGATTGAGAATGGGGATGGAAAGGAAGGGTTTCCAGACAAGGGAAGAAGATGCTTATGGAGACAGGGAGTCAAGTAAAACCTGACAGGAGGTCATTCACGTGTCATTCCGGGTGGAGGGAAGCGGAGGGAGAGCCTGAGCTGTGGGGAAGAAGTATTCTTGAGAGGTCAGTGTTATTTGGGGTATCCTAATCCCACCTGAAGTTTCCAAAGAGACCTAAATGTGTCTCTTTTGGTCAGTGTTATCTTTATATGACTGTTCTCAGAGAGTTGCCCTCCACTCTGTACTTCTGAATCCATTGAATAATATCTGTCACTTTTAATTATTTTTGGAACAAGATATATGAGTCAATGAATGAAAAAATAAATGAATAAAATATTCCTTATCCCTTAAATGTTCAAATACCACCTATTTTCATATTCTTCCTGCCCCTCTCAATGCCTTAAAAGAGAAGTGAGAAAAGAGGGTTTTGAGCAACAGGCATGATATTGTTGCCACTTTTAAGTTTTGTATTTGTCGATGCCCTTCAGCTGATGAACACCAGGAACATTTGAGTTGAACAAGTTGGGTTTATAATTTGTTGTGGAGAGGGAGAACACACATGGGAAGTCATAGGGCAGCTCAGTAAAAGGGTATTAGGAAACATTTACTGTAGGATTTGGGATTGTTAAACTAATTGGGGGAAAATTTAAGGAAGACTGGCTTTGCTGTAGAATGCATGCCCTCAAGAGTGGAGCAATTCTGAGCTTTGAGATCTCAGAAAGTCTTATTTAGAAAGAAGAAAGAATAGCCAAAGGCTAAAGCTGTAATTGGTGGAGACGGGCAGTCACTTACATTAGTCTAGTTAGGGGATGTTTGGCATTTTGTAGATTGCATAATGTTCAAGTTTAGCCTTTGTTCAAGTGTGATTATGGAGTAGTACTGTCTTTGTCTTGATTCAGCGTGGCTTTGCTGGGTGTTAATGTTCCATGAAATTGTTTAAGTTACACAGGACATCGAGGCCTAGCTGCTGCAGGAGGCTAACCTGCAACAGTGCCAAGATTGGCTCCTAAAAGTCATGTGGTTTTTTTCTTCCCCACATATTTTTAAATAGTCATTCATTTTCTTGTTTGCTCGCTGGATTGTAAACTGCACAAGGACATAGATCTGTTTTGATTACTATTGAGGTCCCAGAATTTAACCAAATCGCAGTCTTTTGAGTACTTAAAGAATATTGACTGAATAAATGAATAAATTGTCCAATTAGCCTATCAGACTATGAGTTGCTCAAAGTCAAGGTTCACTTTCTATTCAGCTCTGTATTTCTAGAAACACAATTCTGGCGCACCTAATTAAACATATCTTGAGTTAAAAAGGGGATTTCCATTAGGATAAGATTTATTAATTTTTTGAAAATAAAGTAATACCACGAATTCCACTTTTTGAAGGAAAAACGATGCTTAATTCAGATGGGTTCACTCCTGACAAAGGAAAATCATGTCACATCCCAGACTTTTTCGGTCTTTCTGCATTTTCCATTGTACTGAATACGAAGAGTGAGTTTCAAAGCTCTAAGAGAAATTGATATAAGTATTTAGAGACCATTTATATGCAACATAACCCTTCTAACCTAGCTGTACTCTAGTAAGGATTTTAAGGGAAGGGAGTCCTTGATTTATAAACCCCTGACTTACAGATAATCCATAGCTACACAGATAGGCTCTCCCCTCACTCTTCCTTCACCCTGGGGAATCCTTATTCAGGATTGCCTTATTTGTAAAATGGCCATTACTGTGGATACCTACTGAGAAAGCTCTTTGAGGCTCACTGTGAGAGTACTCTATGAACTGCAGGCAGGAAGGATTTTTATTGTTGGGGGCAAAGGACCTCTATATGTCAAGAGCAAGATAAAGACAGCAATATGAAAAACATAAATGAAGATATTTGCCCTTTTTGGCCAAATATAGTAACAGCAAGCCAATGACTACATTTTGTTCTAAATTATAGTTAGTGGGCTTTTGCTATTGCATTTTTCATGAAAAAGTGGTCCATTTTTTTCATGGATTTATTTATTTTAGAGAGGGAGGATGGGCAGAGGGAGAGGAGGAGAAAATCTCCAGCAGACTCCCCGTTGAGTGCAGAGTCGCAGATGGGGCTCCATCTCATGACTCAGATTGTGACCTGAGTGGAAATCAAGAGTCAGATGCTTTACCAATGAAGTCACCCAGCACCCCCCGCCAAAAACAGTCCATTTTTTTAAAAAAAAGTTAAACTAGCCACATAGGAGCTACTGGGCAATGATAAAAATGTTCATCTTCTACAAATACTTCCTATGTGACATTGGACAACAATTAACTTTGGAGTCTCTTCTTTTTATATGTAAAAAAGGGAATAATTATATTCCTGCCTACAGGGCAGTATTAGTGTGGGTCTCACAGGTGCCTTGTTTGGGAAAGTGCTTTCTAAGCTGCAGCAGTCTTTATGATCATGTATTATTTATGATAGTAGTATATTTTTTTCCCTTTTCCTGCACCTAGCAGTGTCGTGAACTTACAAGGTACTTATTAAATATTCATGAGACAAATTGATAAATATGAGAAATTATTCTGAAAAATCCTAAAGCTCTAGCCAAATATAAGATCCTAATCATGAGATAAGATATTGCAAAGTTTAACTTGAAGGCTCTGGATGTCAGATTTCTAGACTCGTCTCTTGGTTTTTACCCTTGTGAACTATGAGATCTTGGATATGTCCCTAAATTACTCTAAGCCTCAGTTTCATTATCTATAAAATGGGAGTGAATACCAATACCTCCTTCACAGGATAATTTTGAATATTGAATGAGATAATTGCTATGTAGTAGCATATACAGTGCCTGGCTTGAAATAAGCACAGAAGTTACATCCATTTATTTATAAGTTTTCAAAATCCCCATCCTGTATTCTCGTTAATGTGTTTTATATTTCCATGTATATAAAATGAATATATTTTTCAAAAGTCTGATCATACCATATATGTCATTTTATATCCTCATATTTTCCCTTGTTTAAACTTAACATCCTCTTGTGCTTATCTTTAGAAAACTAAATATATAATGTCTAGTAAAATTTCTTTTTATTATATATGGCTTAAAAAGGATGAGCCCTGAAGCAAAATGTTCACCCAGAAGTCTTTGGTTTGCCTAAGCAGATCAACCTTCCAACTGCCCCAGGCTGCATAAGTAAAGTACTGGCAGAACCTGAGCCATAACCAGAAGGATGGAGGGAGACACATATGCAGAGAGCGTAAAGTCGTGCTTGGTCCCCTCATCTTATCATGAATGCATCCTGGCCCCAGATTTGGAATACCTCGAAAATCTGAGAAGAAAGAAACTGCAAGTTAAAGGAGATAAATGTGACAGCTGGGGACTCAGAAAATTCTTATGTGTGAATTGTCTGAAATGGCCAAGCATGAGAAGCGGAATGGATTTCTCAACTGGACCGAGACAAAGAGAAGATTGGCAGTAGGGCATAGGTGTACTAAACATTAGGGAGATGAACATGGACAAGGATATTTAAGTGGCAGTGCCACAATAGGAAAAGAGAGCAGATTTTATCTAAGAAAATTGTATTTCCCTCCACTGCTACTAATGTCTTTGAACTCGTCCAAGAACAATTTGGAAAATGAAAACCTTAGAAAATACTAAATTTCTAGCAAAGTCAGAGGGCATTGGAGCACTGATATTTGTAGAATTACCATAAACAGTGACACAGTTGTTTTCTGTGACTGTTTCCCAAGAAGTACTGACTGCAGTTGTACTACAAATTATTGAAACCCATCATCTATTATGAGAATATTTAACTTTTTCCTAGTTTGGTACTCTTAAAACCATTATGCTGAACAGATCTGTGCATTATTCTTTGACAACACCTTTAAAACTTTCTAAGGATAGCCCCCAGAATAAGCCAGAACAACTTAAAAAAGAACAAAGTTGAAGAAGCTACCCTTCCTAATTTCAAACCTTATGGCAAACCTCAGTAATCAAGACAGTGTGATATTGGCATAAGGATGGATATACAGACCAGTGGAATAGTATTTAAGGCTGCAGAAATAAACCCTTGTATTTATGGACAATTGATTTTCAACAAGGACATTAAGATGATTCAGTGGGGGGAAAGAATAGTCTTCAGTGAATGGTACTGTGACAATTGGATATCCGTATTCAAAACAATGAAGTTGGATATCCTGCCCCATACCGTATACAAAAATTAATTCAAAATGGATCAAAGACCTAAGTATAAGAACTAATAATGATAACTAATAATAATAATAATTTGTTCCTCTTAGAAGAAAACAAAGGAGTAAATCTCTGTGACCTTTGGTTAAGCACCAGTTTCTTAGATTTGACAGCTTAAGCATAAGCACCAATAGATAAATTAAACATCACCCAAATTAAAATCTTTTGTACTTCATAGGACATCATTAATAAAGTAAAAAGACAACCCACAGAATGGGAGAAAATATTGCAAATAAATATAAAGAACTTATATCCAGAATATATAAAGAACTCCTGTAACTCAACAGTAAAAAGGCAAATAATATTATTAAAAGGTGAGCAAAGGATTTGAATAGACAGTTATTCAAAGAAGATAAGACAAATGGCTGATTAGTCCATGAGAAGATATTAAACATCATTGGTCATTAGAGAAATGCAACTCATAGTCACAAGATACCACTTCACACCCATTAGGATGGTTGTCCGAAAAAAGATGAACAATATCAACCAGTAAGTGTTGATGAGGATGTAGAGAAAGTGGAACCTTCATATATTGCTTGTGGGATTGTAAAATGTTGCCGCTGCTTTGAAAAACAGTTTGACAATCCCTCAAATAGTAAACATAGAGTTATTTTTTAACTTGGAAATTCCACTCCTAGGTATTTACCCAAGAGAAATGAAAAGGTTCACCCAAATTGTACATGAATGTTCATAGCAGCATAACTCGTGATAGCCAAAAAGTGCAAACAACCCAATGCTCATTAATGGACAAATGGATAAAAGCAATGTGGTATAGCCATGCAATGGACTATTACTCCACCATAAAAAAGCATGAACGGATACATTCTACAACATGGATGTACTTTGATAACCTTATGCTGAATGTAAGAAGTCAGAAACAAAAAGCCACATATTGTATAATTCCATTCATACTAATTGTTCAGAATAAGCAAATCCACACAGACAGAAAGTAGATTAGTGGTTTGCCAGGTCCTGGTGGGATGGTAGAAAGAATACATGTTTCTTCGATGAAATTTATTCTGAAATTAGATAGTGTTGATGGTCACTCTACACTCTAAATACACTAGCGACCAGTGAATTGTATACTCTAAAAGAGTAAATTGATTATTCACTCTGCTTTTAAATTAACACCCTAAGGATAAATTCTTAGCAACAAGAAGTTCTTTTTCATTTCCCTGAAATGGGATCCTAGGGAAGAGCTAAAAATAAATTTGGAGAAGGGGTAGTCTCTACAGTTTCTTTCCTCTAAGAAACCTCAGTGTGTGCCATGAGATTATTCATGACCACTACATTGGAAGCCTATGAGATAAGGTCTTGAGATTGTCTGGAAGATATCATTACACTGGTTGAGGATGATTATGGTATAGATCATATGTCTGAGTGAAAGAAAGAGTTCGTAAATATGGAAGGAGAACTAGGGCCTAGATAGGAAGGCCTGTTGATGGGAAGGTGACCAGTTATTTTGGTTTGTCTGAGACTGTTCTGTTATAGCACTCAAAGTCTCACATCCCAGGAAAACCTTCAGCCTCAGGCACACCTAAATGGTAAGTTGTCTAGTTGGAAGCAAGACAACAAGGACACTAATGGCTAGAAGTTACTGAGGGCCTACCATGACACAGGCATTATGCTAAGGGCCCCTTCTGCAGTATCTTTTTCAGTTCTCACAGTCAGCTTCTCAGGTAATTACTGAGGTTAAGTTATCTGTTCTAGGTCATATGGTTTAAATAGAAGACCTCAAATTTCAATCCTAGTCTATAGAGTCAGAGCCTTTAGTCTTAACCACCAACTCAACTGAGAGATTGAGCCAATGCAACACTTCTAAAACTGAAAAAGTGAATTACTTATAAAGGGTGCTTTAAATTTAAAAATGCTTTTTTATGCCCAGGGTCCCATTCATCCCCCTTAAGAACCCGTTTGCTTATTTGTTCATTCATTCAACAAGTATTTATGGTGCTTACTTGGCACCAGACACTGTATTAAGTGCTGAGAATGAATCCCAAACCTGCCCTCTGACTTCGTGGAGCTTATTTTTGGTGACCGAACATAAACAGCAAAATAAAATATCTGGCAGTTATGCTAAGGATTATGAAGGAAACAGAAGCACACGGAAACTATCAGAGGTAAATCTATTTTAGGTAGGATGGCCAGGGGAGGCATCTATAAGGGAGATGCATTTAGACTGAAGCTCAGATAATGAGAACAACAAGTCCTATGAAAAGCCGGGGAAAAAATTCTTGTAGGAAAGAGGACAGTTTGCCCGAAGGTCCGGAAGCCGCAAAGAGCTTTGTATGTTTGAAAATACCAGGAAAGAAGAGTCAGTGTTCATAGCGTATTTAGGAAGTAAAGCAGGAAATCTTATCTCAGACGTGTAGATGAGAAGTTGAGGTAGGGGGGTCTTACCAGAGTTCCCAGTTACCGCTCAACCACGGGGCAGGACCCAACCTTCTGACTGAGTGCTGGGACTTGGTGCTTTAGTCTTAGGTTGAAAAGGGTGATTTTTCATACAACTGTGATTTTCAAACATTTTAGGAACAGAAATTTTTTTCACATATAATCTCATATTGAAGCCTAATGTTCAAAACATATAGAGGGTGGCTTCTCTCCTGGGGCTGGAGGTGGGGCTCCCAATCCCAGGGGTTTAGTCCCGGGCTCTCCCCACCCAACCCCCTTATGTTCAGTCAGCCAAACTGAAACCCGAGTGACACTTTTAGCTTACAGAATCACATCTTGAAGACCTCACACACATTTTCCAAAATGTGTAGAAGGGTTTTGTTTTTTGGTTTTTGTTTTTAGTTTTAATTCCAGTGTAGTTAACATACAGTGTTATATGGGTTCCAGGTATACAATATAGTGATTCAGCAGTTCCATAGATTATCAGTCAGCTTCCCATTAGATTCTTAAAAGAAGTTTCTGTTTTGTGTATGGTGTTTTCACTTACATGTTAGCGAAGCAGTACACGCAGGTATTAGAATATGTAACATTATTAGAAGCACATAACGGGCTGACTCTTATGGAGCATGTATGTTTCTTTTGTATAGACGTCCTTTGATAATAACTGCATGAAACGCCCTAAAACAAAACTTACAGGTCAAACTGTCTATCCTGTAATGATCTCTTAATGGCTTCTAAATATTAGTGCTTGGAAATTTTATTTTGTGCAGACAGGACATAATGATAAAATATGTCTTTCTTCACACTTTAAACATCAAAACTTCCTTATCTTAAATGCAGCAGCCAGAGCCTTTGGGATTTCCACTTTGAAAGGCAGATGAGGCTATATAGCCCTGAACTTCAGCTGTATAAAATATATCTGTAACTTGTTAGAAGGGAAAGAACATTCTGGGAAGAGACAAAAATGCCTATAACCACTGTTCAAGTGCTTCTGGAATCATTTTAGTTAATCAAAACCCCCTTTAACTGTGGTGCCCACATCAAAATACACTGTGTGGTCCCACTCTGGTATTGGCTATCATCCAGTCCTCTGGGGATTAAGAAGCTGGAATAGTGAGCAGAGATTTCCTTAATATCTCCTCATTTTATTTTTCTCCCTTCATAGTCCAAGAGTTGGAGTAAGCTGGATTTAGGGCACTTGAGCGACAGAGTAAATTGTCTATAGGTAGAAGGGGGCTTGGAGAGTTCCTGAGTACCATGTAATGAGCAGATGAGGAGTGAGTTGCCACAGATTTATACTTCATTGGCTCAGATCACAGTATATCCACATATCCATAGATCAGGGGACTGCCCTGTCTATGAAACTTAAATGGCCCTTGTTACTTACAGGAGTGCTTGCCAATTTCAGTTACTTGATTCATAATTCCTTCCAAATTCATGGCCATTTTTCTTTAAAAATATTTTTTGTTGAATGGGTTTCTTTTTTTTAAACTTCACTACTCATCCTAGAAATATCCTGAACATGAATATCCATGATTATCTTGGATTTGTAATTCTATTTTTCCCTAACATGCTTTAAAGAAAAGCTGTGACCACTGCAATAAGAAATATTCATTATCAAATTAGCTAAAATCATCACTAATATTATTAGAAGATACTCAAATAACTTTTGGGGAAATACTTTTTTATGTCTCTCATCTCCTCTTTTAATGAATAAGATTACAAGATTTGTTTGGGAAGGCTTTACCAAAAAATGGAGTCTTTAGTGGGTTCTTAGAAGATGAAAATGCTTTCTAAAATTGGATATGAGTATGAAAAGAAGGATAATTTGATTAGAGAGAATTATATACACAAAGACAAAATTGAAATAGTATGGAATCCAAAATAGCTTAAATTACCTAGAACTACGGTGAGAAAAGGGAATTCTCCTGTTAGGGAGAAAGAATCTAAGTTGAAGAAGGTATTTTAGGGCATGCAAAAAGGTTTATCTCCCACCAGTACTAGAAGTCACTGTTCTAAAGAGAAAGATATCTCAATCAGATTTTCATTTTAGAAGTAGAGTTAATACAGGAATTGGCGAGCTTTTCCTATGAAGACCTAGGTAGCAATATTTTATAATTTTTAAGCCATGTCATCTCTATTGCAACTACCCAGTTCTGTTGTTGTAGCCTAAAAATAGCCAGAGACAGTACAGAGAGTAATGAGTATGGCTGTGTTCCAGTAAAACTCTATTTCCAAAAATAGGTGGCCATAGTTTGCCAACCCCTGTATCAGACTCAGTCCAAGAAGACCATTGGGGGGCCATTGCAATATATAGGCAAGAGGTGGGGAGAACTTAATATGCAGGCAATAGCAATGAATTTAGAGGTAGGAAAAAAATAAAAACTAGAAATAAGGAGCTTTCATTGCTAGTGGTATATAAGGGGATAGAGGAATAGTGGAGACAGAGATGAATCCTGGTTTACCCCAGAATCTATTTTGACAGAGATGGGTAGATTGAACTACATGCATTGTCATTGTGTATATCAGAAGTGCTCAAATATTAGCAACTTCATGTGGTTTAATATGGTTCCACCTTATAGAAATACTAGAAGCCTAAGGTTGTAAAAATCATTCTCATGTAAGAAGTAGAAAACTTACCTTGACTAGATGGCGACCAAAAATATCTGAAAAAAAATGTTTAGGGAAAAGGATCAAGTAAAAAATGTATTATTGAGGTGTGACCAGTTAATTAACCCCTTAAGGAATCCCATATAAGTTAATAACCATGAAAATCTTAGAAAAATATGTGGCTCCTTCATGTAGGATTTGCCTAGCCATGCCTGATTCCCCAAACACTTCCCCAAATACACTTAGGGTCCCACTGGAGAATTCAGCCATAACCCATTCTTAGGTTTAATGCTGACTTTAGGCAGAAGAGATTTAAATCCAAGCTTCAGTCGCTGGGACTCAGCAGATCATCCACCACTGGGCTGCTCAGACATTGTGTAGACCCCTTTTAGACAAAGTCTAGTTCTTCATAGTCAGCCTGGCTACCTGCTGGCAAAAATCATAGATACCTGCCTTCTTTTTTGACTATTGCCTGTCTTAATTATCCTCTTTCCAAACTCTATCTGCTTATAAGGAAGTCTCTTCCTCTGTTTGGGATCTCTGTGTCAACACCTGCTTACCTAAACTATTAAAAGTTCCTATGACTTTCATATTTATATTCTACTTAGCAGCCTTGACTTCTTTCAGCTACTGTATCTGAATGTCCTCCCTGCCTCCCCTTCCACTTCACCACTCCGCTGGCAGAGTTAGTTTTACATCATGGGTTTCCCTTCCCATTTTGCTGGAGTAAATTAGAAAAAGCTGAGCCCTCTCTTGAGATTTGATAACAGCAGGTAGTGCTCTAATCATAAGCCATGTTAGAAACTAATACTGCTTTGTGTAAAAGGAATTTAAATACACACACACACACACACACACACACACACACACACACACAATATACCAGTGTGTGGGAGTATGGTGGGAAAGTATTAGGAAGAGACGGGAGGAGAGATGAAATTGATTATCAACTCAAAAAACCAAATTATTTGTTAAATAGTGATTATACCTCTCATCAATCATCTTTTAAGATATCTCACGTCTGAACCCGCTTATGGCAGAGTTTTTAGAATATGGAAAAATGGATTCACCACTGCCATTCATTCTGGTTGAGGTAGTCAATTCATCTCTGAGAGAAACTTCAAAGTTTCAAAAATCCATACATCTAGAAAACAGTTCCTGTTGGCTTGTTTCTTCCCTTAGAAGAAAATCAAATGTTTACTCCCTCCCCCAAGTTCTTCGACAAATCCTTACATGAGAAATAGCTGGTAGCCAAAATAGCCACCAAGAAAGTTTTCATCTTTTCCCAAAAGGAACAATGCCATTCATCCACCAGAGTTCCCTCTGTCAAGAGCTTCCCAGCAGATCCTTGGAGGCTCAACTCTCTTGAACTGAGGGTTCTACTCATTATGAGAACCTGAGACCCCATTATGAAGTCACCTTGCAAATGATTTGTTTACATGTGACACCAAGGACAAAGTCACTGGGTCACCGAAGACCAAGAATACTCTGCAGGCCAAAATATTTCATTTGTAATAGGCTATAGGGCTGTGGTATGATTATGATATGATAATTTAACACTGATTTGTTTGATTGTTAAATTATCACTGGGTTCCAGAGAAGTACATTCTGTTTTTTAACTAGCAAGAAGAAACAAATGTGAAAAAGATTAACTTAGAGTGAGTAATTCTGGAGAACTTTTAAAAATTTACATGTCTGTCTTTAACACCTACTCCCTCCCACCCAAAGATTCTAATTCAGTAGGTCCAGAGTATGACTCAGATCACACACACACACACACACACACACACACACACACTGCATAGTAGAGTCTGATTCACCTCTGCACTTGAGAACCAGTGGATTAGGATACCACAATTTTATACTAAAGGGCTAATTTTCTGGGTCTCTTCTTCCTTTACTGCCTAATGGCAATTTTTCTGTCTTAGTAGAGCAATCTTTTTATCCTTTTTTATTGCAATAGCCATTCCTACTTTCCTAGTCATAACATCTACTATTATATTTAACATAAAGTATATTAAAGAAATAGCCAGGATGTATACATGGAAACTCAAGTCTGTTATGTGTGATTTCTGTTATAATACTTGGATTGCATGATAAGGCAGAGACCCAGAGATCATGAAAAATCAATAATTCTGTATTGAAGATTGTGTTATTACCAGGTGAAATAGGGCTTAGTTCAGATTGCTACTAAACAGAGACATGAAGTTTAACTCTTAAGGAAGGGTGTGTTATTCTACAAATATGATCAGTTCTCACATTTCCCAGGAATACCAAATTCTCCTAAGCACTAGGAGTTTGAATAATAAAGATGGACTATCTTAGAACAGATCATTCTTTCTACAGTGTGACCAAGATTCTTTGCTTGACTAACTTTTAATCAGGCTCCTGATCTCCTAGGGCCATGTGGGCAATTGCTTGTATAACTTTGTTTTTGTAAGAACCCTGCTAAGTCAGTTTAACCACAATTATATTATACAAATATAATTATTTTTACATTAATTGATTGACAAATAAAATCATAAGGTATTTGCCAGGACTTTTTTTAAGATTTTATTTTAAAATTGTAAAATATTTGAAGTGTACACTGTGATGATTTGATGTACATTTATATTGGGAAAGGGTTTTCACCATCTAGTTAGTTAACACATCCATCACATAGTTATCCTTGGAGGATTTTTTGTTACTGTTTTCATTTTTGGTGAGAACATTTAAGTTCCACTCTTAACAAATTTCTATTATACAATACAGTGTTTTCCACCATAATCACCATGTTTTACATTAGAACCTCAGCACTTAGCATCTTATACCTGAAATTTTCTTAGTACGATTGGCTGAATTTAAACCTGGGAAAACAGACTCCAGAGCTCACCAACTTAACCACTGTGTTTTGTAACTTTTTGGCTCAACATAAAGTGTTCACTGAGGACAAAAATAATCTTACTCATCATTGCCCCCCACCCAGCACCTGGCACATGATGTGTGAATAAATGCTGATTAAGAGATTATGAGCAAATTTCCTCTTGCGATTGAGTTCTAGCTTCAGAGCATTGTGGTCTGAAAATATGCAGGGAATGATCCCAATCTTTTGATACCGGTTGAGACCTGACTTAGGACCAAGGATGTGATCTATTCTGGAGAATGTTCCATGTGCACTAGAGAAGAATGTGTATTCTGTTGCTTTGGGATGAAATGTTCTGAATATATCTGTGATGTCCATCTGGTCCAGTGTGTCATTTAAGGCCTTTATTTCCTTGTTGATCTTTTGCTTGGATGATCTGTCCATTTCAGTGAGGGGAGTGTTAAAGTCCCCTACGACTATTGTATTATTGTCGATGTGTTTCTTTGATTTTGTTATTAATTGGTTTATATAGTTGGCTGCTCCCACGTTAGGGGCATAGATATTTACAATTGTTAGATCTTCTTGTTGGACAGATCCTTTGAGTATGATATAGTGTCCTTCTTCATCTCTTATTATAGTCTTTGGTTTAAAATCTAATTGATCTGATATAAGGATTGCCACTCCTGCTTTCTTCTGATGTCCATTAGCATGGTAAATTCCTTTCTACCCCCTCACTTTAAATCTGAAGGTGTCTTCGGGTTTAAAATGAGTTTCTTGTAGGCAACATATAGATGGGTTTTGTTTTTTTATCCATTCTGATACCCTGTGTCTTTTGATTGGGGCATTTAGCCCATTAACATTCAGGGTAACTATTGAGAGATATGAATTTGGTGCCATTGTATTGCCTGTAAGGTGACTGTTATTGTGTATTGTTTCTGTTCCTTTCTGATCTACTACTTTTAGGCTCTCTCTTTACTTAGAGGACCCCTTTCAATATTTCCTGTAGAGCTGGCTTGGTGTTTGCAAATTCTTTCAGTTTTTGTTTGTCCTGGAAGCTTTTAATCTCTCCTTCTATTTTCAATGATAGCCTAGCTGGATATAGTATTCTTGGCTGCATGTTTTTCTCGTTTAGTACTCTGAATATATCATGCATGGCGACTAAACAGCATCCTTCTAAAGAGTGAATGGGTCAACCAGGAAATTAAAGAAGAATTGAAAAAATTCATGGAAACAAATGATAATGAAAATACAACGGTTCAAAATCTGTGGGACACAACAAAGGCAGTCCTGAGAAGAAAATATATAGCGGTACAAGCCTTTCTCAAGAAACAAGAAAGGTCTCAGGTACACAACCTAACCCTACACCTAAAGGAGCTGGAGAAAGAACAAGAAAGAAACCCTAAACCCAGCAGGAGAAGAGAAATCATAAAGATCAGAGCAGAAATCAATGAAATAGAAACCAAAAAAACAATAGAACAAATCAACGAAACTAGGAGCTGGTTCTTTGAAAGAATTAATAAGATTGATAAACCCCTGGCCAGACTTATCAAAAAGAAAAGAGAAAGGACCCAAATCAATAAAATCATGAATGAAAGAGGAGAGATCATAACTAACACCAAAGAAATACAGACAATTATAAGAACATATTATGAGCAACTCTATGCCAACAAATTTGACAATCTGGAAGAAATGGATGCATTCCTAGAGACATATAAACTACCACAACTGAACCTGGAAGAAATAGAAAGCCTGAACAGACCCATAACCAGTAAGGAGATTGAAACAGTCATCAAAAATCTCCAAACAAACAAAAGCCCAGGGCCAGATGGCTTCCCGGGGGAATTCTACCAAACATTTAAAGAAGAACTAATTCCTATTCTCCTGAGACTGTTCCAAAAAATAGAAATGGAAGGAAAACTTCCAAACTCATTTTATGAGGCCAGCATCACCTTGATCCCCAAACCAGACAAGGATCCCATCAAAAAAGAGAACTACAGACCAATATCCTTGATGAACACAGATGCAAAAATTCTCACCAAAATACTAGCCAATAGGATTCAACAGTACATTAAAAGGATTATTCACCACGACCAAGTGGGATTTATTCCAGGGCTGCAAGTTTGGTTCAACATCCGCAAATCAATCAATGTGATAAAACACATTAATAAAAGAAAGAACAGGAACCATATGATACTCTCCATAGATGCTGAAAAAGCATTTGACAAAGTACAGCATCCCTTCCTGATCAAAACTCTTCAAAGTGTAGGGATAGAGGGCACATACTTCAATATTATCAAAGCCATCTATGAAAAACCCATTGCAAATATCATTCTCAATGGAGAAAAACTGAAAGCTTTTCCGCTAAGGTCAGGAACATGGCAGGGATGTCCGTTATCACCACTGCTATTCAACATAGTACTAGAAGTCCTAGCCTCAGCAATCAGAAAACAAAAAGAAATTAAAGGCATCCAAATCGGCAAAGAAGAAGTCAAACTATCACTCTTTGCAGATGATATGATACTATATGTGGAAAACCCAAAAGACTCCACTCCAAAACTGCTAGAACTTGTACAGGAATTCAGTAAAGTGTCAGGATATAAAATCAATGCACAGAAATCAGTCGCATTTCTCTACACCAACAACAAGACAGAAGAAAGAGAAATTAAGGAGTCCATCCCATTTACAATTGCACCCAAAACTATAAGATACGTAGGAATAAACCTAACCAAAGAGACTAAGAATCTATACACAGAAAACTATAAAGTACTCATGAAAAAAATTGAGGAAGACACAAAGAAATGGAAAAATGTTCCATGCTCCTGGATTGGAAGAATAAATATTGTGAAAATGTCTATGCTACCTAAAGCAATCTACACATTTAATGCAATTCCTATCAAAGTACCATCCATTTTTTTTTCATTATTTAGAGAATACTTTATTAGTTTCTGTAATCAAACCCATGTAGATAAGACCTTACATATTTAATACAGTGCGTTACCCCTGTACAAATGGAAAAAATTATGTTTAACATTTCTAGACCAATATGGCTGTTAATTTCTGTACAATGCCAACCCAACACGGTACAACTGGGATACTTTTTCCAAAGTTGACAGCACAGCTAAAGTTTCCAAAAATTCAAATTATTTATATATATATGTATATGTATGTATATATATATATTTTATTTATTTATTTATATAAAAAGACCAATAGCAGTATGTTATGCATCAATAGCAGCAACAGCTTTTCCAGGTTCTGCAGTCATCTGAACAAAATTACCATCCATTTTTTTCAAAGAAATGGAACAAATAATCCTAAAATTTATATGGAACCAGAAAAGACCGCGAATAGCCAAAGGAATATTGAAAAAGAAAGCCAAAGTTGGTGGCATCGCAATTCCGGACTTCAAGCTCTATTACAAAGCTGTCATCATCAAGACAGCATGGTACTGGCACAAAAACAGACACATAGATCAATGGAACAGAATAGAGAGCCCAGAAATAGACCCTCAACTCTATGGTCAACTA